TCCCCCAATTGTGCTGAGGACGTGTGCTCCAGAGTTGGCACCGGTTTTAATGCGTCTTTTCCGGTACTCCTACTCTCTAGGCGTAGTCCCAAAATCATGGAAGACGGCTTTCGTCCACCCGATTCCTAAAATGGTGACCGCTCAGACCCGTCCAACAACCGCCCTATGACAAAACAATGGAGTCCATTGTTAACTGCCAGCTTATGAGGTACCTTGAGGATCACCAGCTGATTAGTGACCGCCAATACGGTTTTCGCCGTGGTCGATCAGCTAGTGATCTTCTGGTCTACCTAACTCATAGATGGGCGGAGGCAGTAGAGTCCAAAGGGAGGCATTGGCTGTTAGTTTGGACATTGCAAAGGCTTTCGATCGGGTTTGGCACAAAGCGCTTCTTTCGAAGCTCCCTTCCTATGGGCTTCCCCATAAATTATGCGACTGGATCACCAGCTTTCTTGCAGATCGGAGCATCAAGGTCGTAGTAGACGGTGCAAGCTCCGATTACAAATCTATTAATGCTGGTGTTCCACAAGGCTGCGTGCTATCGCCAACGCTGTTTCTTCTGCACATCAATGATATGTTGCAAACCCGTAACATTCATTGCTATGCAGATGACAGCACTGGTGATGCTCTGTACACCAGCCGTGCCAATATTTCTCGGGAAAACGTCTCCGAGTACCGGGACAAACTTGTGTCTGAAGTAGAATCTTTGCTGAACAGAGTCTCGGATTGGGGGCGATTAAATCTAGATCAGTTTAACCCCCAAAAGACACAAATTTGCGCGTTAACCGCTAAAAAGTACCCTGGTTACGCGGAAACGATTTGTGTATTTTAGTTTTGTTCGAGGGTATATTTGCCAAGTGTTTATCCTTCCTTTGACCTCACGTCCCTTCCGTACACACTGAAAGGGGAAAGGAGAGGGGAGGGGTCTAGAAGGTGACGCTATTCTTTCGACCAATGAGACGCGCGCCCGACCGAGGTGCCTTGGTGGGAAAGCCGAGGCAATAAAGGCTCGCGCGCTGCCTTCGAGCGCCTCTTGCCACGCGTCGCTAGTCCGAACCGCACCACCTGGGGCAGTCGCGTCCCAGAAGTAACCGCACCGCAACATAGTGTGAGATATCGTCGCGCACCGCTCTCTTCTTTCGTACCACTGGCCTGGATCGCATCTCTGGGGCACCCCAAAAGAACCCACCTCACGTCGCATCCCGCATCTGCCCATCCCCGGTAAGTGTGTTTCCTGTAATTTTGCTCCTACTTGAGCATTTTGTTTGTTAGTTAACCCGCCGCATTTTTTTTCTCATATTGTGATCAAGTAGAATTCCATCCTAACCTTGGCAAGTAATAGATTTGGAAGAGCGAGTGCATTGTCCAAGGTTGCCGCGTGCCCCGTCCGCCATCTTGTTGAGGCATAAGAAGCCGACCGCGTATACAGTCCACCTAGTATAACATCTCGCACAATAGGGTCAAGGCTCGACCTGGGAATCGAATTCGGGAACCCCTAGGCCCGTCGCCCAACCATACCCATTTGTCGTATCCCCCAGTTTCAAGGTACTCCCCTTGTTGCCTCAGCCAGTATCGGTATCCTCAGCGTCGACATATCGAGTGACGTGCAGTTTCGTGGTCATTTTGAAGAGAAGGCCAAATTGGCCTCTAAAAAGCTTGGCGTGCTTAGCAGAGCGGGACAGTATTTCATGCCTGCACACCGCCTGCAACTTTACAAGGCACAGGTTCAACCGCACATGGAATATTCTTCCTATCTCTGGGCTGGAGTTCCCCAGTACCAGCTCTTTCCACTTGACCGCATCCAGCGCAGAGCGGCTCGAATCGCCAACGACCGAGTGCTTTTCTATCGGCTCGATTCACTGGCGCTGCGAAGAGATGTTGCATCTCTTTGCATTTTCTTTCGCATATACCATGGGGAGTGCTCTGAGGAATTGTTCGGATATCGGATTAATCTCAGCCGCCAAATTTCGTGAACGCACTACGCGGCAAACGTCCCGATACCATCTACACCATCTGGATGCTTGGCGGTCCACCACTGTACGTTTCACAAGGAGTTTTCTTCCGCGTACGACCTCTCTGTGGAATAGTTTACCACCGGCGATTTTTCCGGACCGATGCGACCTTCAAGAAAAGAGCTTACTTCTTTCTTAAAGGCCGCCGACGCACCTGCAATTCTTCTGGTGTTGCGGTTGATCATAGGCGGCGGTAGTCACTTAACATCAGGTGAGCCGCATGCTCGTTTGCCCCCTCTTCTATAAAAAAATTTAAAAAATAAAAATATCCAACTCCAAAACAATAAATGAAATAGTAAGACACTCCCTTATATGCAAGCTTACATTTCATTTGTGCTTTTGTATCAATTTTGCTTATTTATATATATGTATCGAAACTATAAACAAATTATAGAATAGTACTTACATTTTACAAAAAAATATCAGTCACGTGTAAAGCTTCAAATAAAACCTTATATTTTAGAATAAAACTCTTGGAAACACTGATAGTACTGCTCACACCGCTGGAATGTGGCGTCGAATGGCGGGAGTTAACATGATTTCGCGCAAAATTTGACAGCCGTGGAGTTAGCATAAAAGATTGCGGCGCGAAATCTATAACCTGGGTTTAGTTTGCGTAGTTAGCATATTTGATGATTATGTGCTATATTTTCTTTTTCGTTTGATACCAAATAGTCAATTTAGCCAAAAATGGAGTTGGCAGCTTAGAACTTTTAGCCGACGATATTCTAATGCGTCACATTGGGTTGAGAAATTTTGACGAAAGTTTAACCTAGTTAACAATTGATAATGATAGTATCTAAAGCAACTCATGCGGACCGAAATCTTAAGATTTATATTACTTTCGAAAAATATGTTAGTTTCTTCGAAAGCCTTTTCCACTAATAGTTCACATGTGCAAACATTTGAAACAATAAAATCATACCACTTTACGTATCAAAATCCACTTCAAGCCATTATTTAAACGATATTGTAGAAGAACTTTTTTCATGTAGTAAGGTCATGCCGAAGTTATATTACGGTTTTAGCACGAATGGGTCGGGACGACCGAGGAAGAAACTCATTTTGGCAAAATACCAGCGAGAAATAGCAGCTAAATACTGCTTTGTTTCTTATTGTGAATGTAGAGAATCAGAGACCTTTTTACTGTTAACTAGGCATTCAATCTTAATCCTCGGGGGTAACAACGCATTTGCATTTTTATTCTTAATCGATAAAAGATGTAAATGTCTTTGAACCACAGTATCCAATTACCATCAGGTAGATTGTGCGCATGTTTGTCACCCATATTCTATTCAAAATAGCAACAATCCGCCGGTGATAAACTTTCCGCCAAAGCATTACTTTGGAATAGAAGATGCATGGTGCATCTGCCAGCTCATGAGGTACCTTGAGGATCACCAGCTGATTAGTGACCGCCAATACGGTTTTCGTCGTGTTAGATCAGCTGGTGATCTTCTGGTGTACCTTACTCATAGATGGGTGGAGGCAGTAGAGTCCAAGGGGGAGGCATTGGCCGTTAGTTTGGATATAGCGAAGGCCTTCGGTCGGATCAAGCATAAAGCGCTTCTTTCGAATCTCCCTTCCCATGGGCTTGCCGAGAAATTGTGCAATTCGATCACCAGCTTTCTTGCAGATTGGAACATGAAGGTGGTAGTAAACCTATTACAAGCCTATTAACGATGGTATTCACAAGGCTGCGTGCTATCAACAACGCTTTCTCTTCTACATATACATTCATTTTTATGCAGACTACAGCACTGGTGACGCCTTATACACCGGCCATGCCAATATTTCTTGGTAAAACGTCGCTGAGTACCGGAATAAACTTGTGTCTGAAATCGAGTCTTTGTTGAACAAAGTTTCGGATTAGGGGCGCCTAAATCTAGTCCGGTTCGATCCCCAGAAGACACAAGTTTCCGCCTTAACCGCTAAGAAGAACCCCCTTGTCGTTCCCCCTCGGTTTGCTGCCTCAGCTAGCATCAGAATCCTCGGAGTCGACGTATCGAATACTGTGCAGTTTCGCGGTCACTTGAAGGGGAAGCTCAAATTGGCCTATAATAACTTGGCATGCTCAACAGAGCGAGACAATATTTCATGCTAGCACATCGCTAGCAACTTTACAAAGCGCAAGTTCGGCCTCTCATGGAATACTGTTCTCATCTCTGCACACCAGTGCTCCTTCTACTTAACTGCATTCAGCACAGAGCGGCTCGAATCATCGACGACTGAGTGCTTTGCGCCACGTTGCCATCGCAAATAAATAAATATGTAGCAAGGTAGCAAGCCACATATTTATTTATCTTGTCACCTATATTATGGACGAAGTTGACACTATAGTTTACAGCCTGTTTTACAACTTAAGATTTTAAATTGGTATTTAGTTTCTTAGTAAATTCATTTTTTCCAAACAGATTTTTAATTATTTTATTTTACAACATTCCTACCACTTAGCACTGCCTTTGTATTTATCAAATGTGTCGTATTTGGCGTAACACATTGTATAATCTTAAGTTATATAATTTATCAACTGAAAATATTTCTATATATCCCGTATGGTTCAGAAAATATGGCTGGAACTTGTCCATCGTTGAATTGTTGTTCTTGTATTATCGTTAAAATAATGGTTTATAATTGATTTTAGTATGTAAAAGTGGTGTGATTTTTTGTATCAAATGCATGCATATATGAACTATAAGTGGGATCGGTGTAACAAGTCCTTCAATGGTGGTATAATCACAAGCTTTTATCCACTTAGGCGTATTAAGATACTATTGTTATTAATTTTCATTGGGTTAGGTTTTTTTTTAAATTTCATATTTTAAATCATTCACATCAGAACTTTATAACATAATTTTGACTTTATAGGTAGGTTGTATGGTCAACAACCTTTGTCTGTCTCTATTGGCGAATCGTAACAATAACAACGTCACGCATTACATTATGGTTCTTTTTCATGGCTGATGTTCAAAGGAGCTAACCGCAGTCATGAAGGTTTATAAATATTGTGTTTTTATTTATAATTATTGTAAAACTTTTATAAATAATATTTATGTTTTATACTGCACATATTAATTTTTTCGTATTTAACACTGCAAAGTTATTTAGTGATGTGATTCTTGGAAACAGAACAGATCAATTGTTGACATGACCGTTTGAACATACACTCGTGTTGATTTCTATATTTGTGTTTTCTTATAGTTCTTATATTTCCTGTAATGCTTTAAGAAAATAGGACATTTTTTGATATCGTTATTACCTATGTATTTGGTTACTATATTCATAACCTCTTTTGTAGCTGAACGTCTCCTACCCGGTAACGGGATGTCAAAAGTTATTCGAGGTGGTGGACGAGCACAAGCTGCGGATTTTTTATGAAAAGCGCATGGGTGCTGAGGTAGAAGCTGATCAGTTAGGAGATGAATGGAAGGGCTATATTTTACGTGTAGCCGGTGGCAATGACAAGCAAGGATTCCCTATGAAACAGGGTGTCTTAACTAACAGTACGTATATTTTACAGTAAAAGAGATCAATTTGAATTTGTCAGTTATTAACTTATATCTAATTATTTCAGCCTGCGTAGATATACACTTATATGTGAATTAACAACCATCTCATTCTAATGAAAAAAACATAATCACTCAATTTTTTTAAATTTTGTTGTAATCTACAACTGTAAACAGTGACTAACAACATTGATACACAAAAAACCCATTCATAAAAATGAAAAATATATTTTTAGGCCGTGTTCGCTTATTGATGTCTAAGGGGCATTCGTGCTACAGACCACGCCGCGATGGTGAAAGGAAACGCAAGTCAGTTCGTGGCTGTATTGTTGATGCTAATTTGTCTGTTCTGGCTCTTGTCATAGTCCGGAAAGGTGCCCAGGTAGATCGATACATTTTTTTTTACTTACAATTATTTTTTAAGATAATTTCTTTTGTAAGTATTGAGTATTGTAGTGAATTTTCAAAAACATCTTGATTATGGAAATAGTTTATCCCTGTTCTTACTGTTTCTCAGATCCTCAAATCTGTGTAATTATATGCGGCAGGGTATAATAATCAATTATGTTAAATAATATAGCCTATGCTTCTCTCATAGGCATTGGTGCTTTTTTTAACATAAGTACAATAACAAACTAGGAGGCCTTTTTCTGTATATGAACTGTTTGAGTTGGTATTGGACTCTACCAATTTCTACTGCAATATAGCAGCACTATTTTCAACTGGAAGTATCTTGGGGCACGGTAGTACCCCCACCAAGTCGAGCAAAAATGGGGTACGGCCGTATCATACTTTTCTCGAAACAATTCAAGCCATTTTCGACCCCCCTATAACCTCATAGTGTATTATACTAGAAGCCTGAATTTGGCTTATAGAAGAGCTTGGTGATCATATGTAAAGTCCTCGTCATCTGTTTCTCCGTCACCATTCATTAAAATTTTGTGAATATATTTGTCATTCACCTTACCCATGTTGCACGAATACAATAAAACTTAATTCAAATTACAACACTGAATTTAAAGTTTTTTTTATAACTTACACTGGAAATGTCTTTTTTTCTACAGAAATATTTGAATTTGAGTGTTGTTATTTCTGAACAACGAAATTAGCAGAGATTATGTAAAAACCACAGACATTTTAAAAAAGAAGATTCATTTTCCGTCCACATGGCCATTAGGTCAGGGTTGACTTCATTGGGTTTTTGGCCTATTAAAAAAAAGAAAAAGAATTGAAAACAAATAAAATCTAAACTGTATTATTCGGATCTATATTATACTATTTCAATCAAAACCTAAAGTGGACATGTGGGTGTCATGATTTTATATACAAACAGGGAATGTCTTAATGCATCATGGCCTTCTTTGCTTGAGAGGGTCCATGGGCTGCATTATCCTTTAAGCAGACTGCTGGGTTATTTGTCACTTATAATTATTTAATTTACAAAAATATGATTTTTAATGTCAAAAAATGAGGTGTATTTTTAAAACAGCTTGTTGCTATTTTAATTTTTGACATATTTTATTTAAACCCACAGGAAATTGCTGGTTTGACTGATGGTGAAGTTCCACGCCGTCTAGGACCCAAGCGTGCATCTAAAATCCGAAAATTGTTCAACCTTACCAAACAAGATGATGTCCGTCGTTATGTAGTGAAGCGTCTGCTACCACCTAAAGAGGGAAAAGAGAATGCCAAGCCCAGGTATAAGGTAAGTTTGATAATTATTTTTTAAGTTTTTTTATATTGGGTATAACAGTAACACTATTATACACCAAAAAAATATGTAATATTATCAAAAAAACATTTAAGTTTTTTATGTCACAACCTGTTTTCACTGGCAATACCTGTTAAAGATGGCAATAATGGCTACATGTCAGTAACCGATTATACTGCTGTGCTATTTTTCTATAACATGTAGTTGATTAAGTGTAGTTATGCATGAAATACAATAATTATAATAAATAGATATTAAGATAACATCACAGAGCTGACATGGAGCACTGCACTGGAGAGTGAAAAGCTAGGCGCTGCTAAGTTAAATCAACTGTGTTATATAATTTTGACACATTCAAAAAGAAACATGTATGTCCTGATTATGACAATTGTGAACTGAATTAAAATTGGTGTCGCATTTTGAAATATAATTATTATTAAAGTATAATAAAAAACAGTTTTAATACTGATTGTGTTGTTGATGACATAACCCAAAAACACAGACTCACAAATCAGCTATGCTGTTAGGAAAATGAGAAAGGGGAGGAAGGGGCTTTAAATTGCTAAACCAAGCAGAGACAAACAGGCATGTGCTTAGACTGAAAGGGCATCATTTTATAAACCTTTATAGATGGAATTGACCCACAACAAGAAAATCTTAGCTGTGTAAAGTGTGCAAAGCTGTTTCAAAATGTACCAGGTCTATGTACACTACCTCAAAAAAAGAGAAAAATCTGTAGAATTCGGGGAAAATACAGATAATTCATTTAAATGTATCCTGTTGTGGTAAACAATTTATGTTTATCAATTGAAGACTTAAGTGGATGAAGGTGATAACTCGCATTTTACTAATTTTGAGTAAATCAAGATTGAAGTTTCAGTTTTGTTTTTTGAGATAAGTTGTTAGAAAATTAGTTTTTGATTTAAACTGCAAAGTTGGGTAAACAAACTTAAAAAATTTGGGTATGTGAGCAATTAAACACTTTTAATACTTTTTGGTATATAATTTCGAAAAAAACTGAACATAACTCTTTCTTTCACCAACATTTTTAAAACATTTTGGCATTTTAGCTATTTCAAATTAGGTGTTAAGTAACATTATGTATTTAAAGTATTACAAAAAGGCAAACATTATTTAAAGGTTCCTTAAATACTATCAATAAAAATGTAAACTATTAAAACAGAGATCATAAATAATCCTATTTTTCAAATAAAATCGGCTCATAGAAGTATCGATATTCCGGCTTTACGTACTTAAGTTGTTCTCGGTTTTTTTTTCTCCACTGATACGGTACCACATTTTCCGTACGTACGCGGAATCTCCACAGAATTGCGTAACTGAGATCTTTTCAAAATGTCCACCTTTTTGAAAGGTGTCATTTCATCATATGTTTCTTTATATAGGTAGGAACCATATTCATCTACGCATATCCATTTAATACCATCCCTAAAACTTACTTTGTCATTGTTTACATCTTTTTTTCTGTTAATCAAATCAAGTTTTTCCTGTAACTCACCAATTTTTCTGAAATGTGCGCTCATGTCAATGACTGTATTATTTTGAGAAGCTTTGCATATAATATTCCTGTATTGTTCAGGAACATAAACTGTATCGTGTTTCCTAAGGACTTTTTCTATCCTACCAAAATCATGATCCGAATCTAAATAAGAATGGCCAACCTCAGGGAACTTGTGGTCTAAGGTATTGATACAGTGCAATCATATTAAAGTTTTTGTTCTGTCTGGCACATGAATCCGACCAGATCAATAAATGATCTTTGTTTTGACAACTTGGATCTACCTCCAAAAATCTTAAAAGTGCGCTTCCAACTTCAACACTTCCGCGATCTGCTACATCTTCAGTCCATGTACTACAAACAGCTTTCTCTTTAGCTCCATCATTAACGTGAATACCCAGATTGTAAAACCATAATTGGCGTAAGTAGAACGCTTTTGAAGTTGTTAGTTTCGGTAACGGCATTGTTTGTTGTAAATCCATTGTAATGTACACAATATCTCGGTTCCGGTTTGGTTTTTGCCTATCAATTTGCATAGCTTCAACAGCTGCATGATATTTTAACTTATGTTCTTCAGTTGAGTCTCCAGCATCGCAAGTAGGACACGTGTCACTCCTTGGGTAACCAAAAGACAAATTAAATTCTGTGACAAAAATTTTATTGTATGAGCTTTTCGTATTGCGATATTTGTCAGTCAAGTCCTCATTTTGACACATTTCCAAATACAAACCATGCATCTTGGTAACATTGAGCAGTGGTGACAAATAGAGTTTGTATATATTTTTATTTCTTGAGTAATGAGACTGTTCCGCTGGAAAGCTCGCTCTTAAGGAAGAAAGCGGTAAAAAAACAAGAAATACTAACAGGAAAGATAGAAAATTTGTTTCAAATCATGAGAATAATATGACTTTCCTCTTTGCCCTTCAGCGTTTCTCCGATTATTCTAACACCAAAGTTTTTTTAACTAAAATTGCCAAATAAAATAAGTTTCTTGTAAAATAATAATATTCCCAAAAACTAATATCTATATTTTTAAAGTAAAAAGCATACATTTTAGTGCAATAACTATTTGAAGATAATTATAGCCATTCCTAGTTTAGCAAGAAAATCTAAATTATAATAGTAAAGAAGTAAAATAATATTAAACACTTACTTTGAACAGTTTTGAGGTTATAATCGTTATAAACATCATTGTTCCGAGTTTTTTCTATTATAGGGTGACTGACAGCAGCTTCCAGTAATAATTTTGCCCTTGCTTTGCCTCCTGCCATTGCTTTTTCACTTTGCCAACGTAAATTCACTATTATAAAATTAAATAATATTTTGGACACAACATACGCTACAATACGCACTCTGTTAGAAAGCCCGCGAGAATGTGACAAATGACAATTTTATTGACAGAACGAATTAAAACAATTGACTGACGTGAACGAATGAAGGTGTCACATAAAACCTTCATTCATGGAGAAGTGACGTCGTGTCATTCGACTATCGTTCGCTGAGTGGAAGAAGGTGTTATGTTCGCACATATCACTTTCTTCCACGACAAAAAAAACAAAACTTTTATTTTATTTATCATAAAGGTGGTGATGTTGGCTCATACCTCTTTCATCCAGTACCATTTTCAAACTAAACTGAACATAACACCTTTATCAACTTTCTATTTTTAAAATGCGTCCAAAATCGATAGATTTAGGGTCTAAAATAATTTTATATCGACATATCACCTTCATTTATGCAATAAAACACCAAAACCTGAAAATGTGACATATCACCTTCATCCACTTATGTCATCAATTATTTTTATCGACTTTCAACATTGCGTCTTACCAATTTAATCTGTGCTTATAGGAAATGACAGTAAACTATAGTCACCATTGATCATAGAAAAAGAACTGTCAGCTGTCACAACAGTCAAAAATAGATGAAGTAAACATGTCAAACGTCACTAATCAATAAAGTGACAGCTTACCGCCATGACGAATTTTTGTTGTGTGTTGCAATTTCAAGTGTAATTTACTGTGCTTTACCAGCTAACAAAGCCATTATACAATAATTGGTTAGTTGAGAACCGTTTGAAATGTATTTCCCTATTTTTGAGTATAGTGTACAAAGACCTGGCCCAGGCTCCATACATTTTGGAACATCTCATTTAGTATGAATGTGATACAGGTCGGGTTAAGAAGATAGCTGGTCTAACATAATGAGTTAGACTACATTACAAATTGTAGATTTAGTTTAAATATAATATATAGTATAAAACGAAGCATTTACATGTAGGTAGTAAAGTATGGGTTATACGTGATTTTATTTATAAGAAAATAGTTCTACTATGCTATGTATTAGAATGAACAAATAAAATATTTTATAAAAAGTGATCTTAAAATATTTTTAGTTTTCTGCAGAGCATGATATCACAAATTTTAGTCTGAATTTCATAAACTTAGTACTTTTTATGCTGTAATATAGGAAAGGTGTCAATGAAGGAGACATGTGGTTGGTACTAAAACTTTAATTAGACTGCTTCATTATTCTACCTTAACACTAAAGTATATTAATGTGGGAGCACTACACTACAATGCAAAATTATTTACTCCCCATTTTAATCTGAAACACCTGACATATTTTCCATTTCCACGCTCATCTGAAGAAATCGGGTACATCTGAATTCTTCGTCAAAAATTAAAATAGATGTTTTCCTTTCATTAACAGCCTACTGCTGGATATGGGCGTCTCCCACAGCTAGAAAAAGATTTGAGTTACCACACTTGACACACCACACTTGTTTTTAAAAAAATAGAATAAGGGAGACAGACTAGCACATGGTCAACCTGATGGTAAGTGGATGCTGTAGCCCATAGATATCATCTACATTTATCCTCGAATAAGAATCAAAACAAATGTGTTGTCACCACAGATCTAATTGAAAGTCTAGTAATGTGTAATGTATAGGCAGTTTGGTGATTGATGGTGTATCACCAGTCTGGATAATTTACTAGTGGTCTATAATGATGATGCAGATGTTTACACAGTCCTTCTATTGGAGATCATGAAATTTTCAGGTATTTTCCATAGTACCTCCTTTACATAGCCAAGGGATGAACTCTAGGATAATGTATTATTCCATTCACCCTGCTCATTTATTACCATTAAACATTTTAAAAAGAAAATTGTATTGAAAACAGTCCCTGATATACATATTGTTTGTTAGTCATTCAAGACTAATGAGCAGCAGCATCAGGGTAAATAAAATTAACACCGAGCAGAAGATTCAGATGCTTGTCTGTCTCTTTCACAGTGTGTTGGACAAATGTTACCTCAAAAGCTTAGCATGCAGTACTGATTTTAAATACTGACTGTCAAATGCACCAAGAGGCGAATTGAACATTTGTACATTAGCTTAAAGGTGTAAGGTATAGCATGGTATGATGAAACAAATCCCTCTGTAATTGTTTCTAGTATCCAAACGGTTTCAAAATATATTAAGAAAAACTTGAAGTCTTAACACTTGTTATATATTAACTATTATTTTCAGGCTCCCAAGATTCAGAGGTTAGTCACCCCTGTAGTACTTCAGCGTAGACGCCACCGTTTGGCATTGAAGAAGAAGCGTCTCGCTAAACGCAAGGCCTCCGAGGCTGAATACGCTAAGCTTCTCGCTCAGAGGAAGAAGGAATCTAAGGTATGTTATAAATGTTAAAATATTTTACCTAGATAACTTCTAGTATGATGAATAAAGTTTGTTGTGATACTGTTTGCATTTGTGTTGATGAACTTCTGAAGTCTTCAATATTTTTTTCCTTTAAGCTAGTTTTTAATCGGCAAATAAAATTGTGAATACAATTTCATACTGTCCTCATTTGAGATGCAATAATGATGATGATACATAATATCCTATTGTAAATGCTGAATGTGTGGTATTTAATAATGTTATTCAGTTAGTGTAATGCAATTAAATTGCATTTATATTTTCTTAACTGTTTACTTATTTGGCCCAATGTCAATACCATCATGATCAACCACAGTTTATATTACAAATTAGTAATTATTGTATTGGTGAATTTTTGACACAAAAATAATTTGGTATTGCGACTATGGGATATGAAATCTTGTTAGTTTGTTACATATCATTTTGTATTCAATTAGTTAAAAGTACCATATTCTGAAATGTTCCTTGTATTTCAAGATAAAATTTGAAGTGTATTCTTACAACAGCTTGTATCATTTAACATAATACTAAATTATTATGTCAATCATACTTAGCTGTAAGATAAAAGGCTGTGTCTTACCCCTACGTTTATATTTGATATAAACGAAGGTATTAAATCAGTAACAAAATATCTAATGTGACTGACTACTCACAGGTTATAATAAAATATAGCTTTGATATTATTAAATGTAAATAATATTTATTTAAGGTACGCCGTCAAGAAGAAATCAAACGCAGGCGATCGGCATCGATACGTGATTCCAAGAGCTCTAGCCAGAGCGCACCCCAAAAGTGAAAAACTTTAAAAAAATAAAAATAGTAAAAACTTATGTATCTTATTTTATTCAAGTTTCATGTGTGCGACAGTTGTGCTGAATAACAATTGTATAGGCACACAAAACCTACTTTAACCCTTAATAGGGCCATGGTATCAGAACGTACCACATTACATTATGGGGTTTTGAACAAACTTAATGTTCATAAATGTACCACAAAATGTCATTTTATGCGAGTGAGTGAATGATTCTACAAAATGAATCATCAATCGCGTGTATCCGAACGGAAATTTTTGAACGATCCTGTTTATTAAAAAAAACTGTCAGTGGCTGGTTATTTTCGCGCGTTTGTGAGGTGTTTTTTGTGAAAATGTCGAAAAAACATCCGGTAAGTGATATTGTATTTGTTTTTTTTTTTCAGAGCTTATAAAAGAAATATTTATGTAAATATAATAGTTTTAGTATTGAGAGTGTGATTCTAGAACTATATGAGTGCAAAGGATGTGGTACATATTTCGACCAAAGCCCATTAAAAAAATGTGGTTTTCTTGTATTTTTTATCTATTTTGTTCTTATTCCAGAGGCCTAAGAAACTACTGAAAGATGATGATATTGCACGAACCCTGCCTGCAATGCAGGCAGAATACACAAATAATATGAGCGGGGTGCGTATATATGTTACCGGCTTACACATAAGAAAACAAACAACAGTCACATAGATATTAGAGCAAGACTTGGCAGAGGGCTTATAAATAATTTTAGTACCACCAGTCTACAACCAATCACTTATAAAAATAAGAAAGGAGGTGTATTTGGAGTGCCGGATGAAGTGAGGTTAGCTAATGTGTGGTTGCACATGCCCTGCAAAGGTAAAAGAAGGTGGTGCAAATTTTGTAGCACAAGAGGTGAGCAGCGCGGCACAAATATTATGTGCAAAATATGCCTTGTTCCTTTATGTGTAATACCTTGTTTTGAAAATTTTCATGTAAACCAGTACCGAAAATAATAGAATTTGAAAATACTAAATCGGTTTCTGTAGTTTTAATACAATTTACTACAAACTAACAATGAGTTTTGAGTTTCTATGAGTTTCCAAATGAGCAATGGTCTATAGAGTCCACATATTTTTTCTAAACGGGCAATGGTCTTATAGTGACCACATGATTTTTCCAATAAAAAAAATTAAATATCAATTTTTTATTTTTATAACTTTATTTTATACATTTATAGGAACCTAAATTCGAAAAATTACAAAAATCCATATACTTTTGATACCATGCCCTATTAAGGGTTAATTTGTCCAATTTTCGGACACAATAGTAAGACACTAGCAATGAACTATATGTAGTAGTACACAGGACAGCGAATGGGTTAACCTTTTGAGCGCCAAAGTCGTCTATACGTGACCAGCACCTGCGTGCCCTGAGCGCCAACGACGTCTATAGTTGACAAAAAACCCGGCCCACAAAAATATGAAATATAGACATTGGAAAATTATTACTTGTATTTTAATTCTACACCCCTCAAAAAAGAATAACTCAGTAACATGTGAGTATATAAAACAAGTCTCCTAGAGCCACAAGTAGTAAGAAACATTGAACTAAAAAAAATGGATTTTTATCTAAGCAAATACTATGTCCAGCACGCCAAAGTCGTCTATGTTAGACCGCTAGTGTTGTAATGCGTTAGCCATAAATTTATTGAAAACTATTCAAAATTAAGCTCAAACGTGTAATTTTTTTTCTATTATTATTGATATTTAAATAAAACAAAAGGTTAGAAATATAAAACTATAATTAGCTACATGAATTAAAAAAAAATATCAAATTATCTTCGCATAATAAATCTAATATCTCAACTCTGGCGCATCCTTAGCGAGACATCGAAAATCAGTTCCCTGGGCGCCGTAGTCTAGTATAGACGACACGCTGATGACGTCATAAGCGATTAGCGGGAAAATTAGTGCAGTGCAACATGAACGATTCCTCAGCCTCAGAACTCATTCGGATTTTGGAAAGCGTCGACGATGATGAATTTTCGGAATCTGAATCATTACCTGAAGATTTAAAGGAGGTAAGTGTCTTAAGTTCCTAATAAATTAAACTTATTTTACTAACATGCATATTGCCTATTTTATGTATCTATTATTTTATAATATTTTGTTTAATTTTAAATATAATAAGTTCGATACATAATGGAACTGTTTCCCGGGCGACTCTTGTGAGCACATTTTTTATGTTTTTGTTTTCGAGTTTAGAATAACTCATCATGTTCGTTTACTTTTATACTGCAACTAGTAGATATTTTTTTCTGTCAAAAAAGCGAATGGTAATATTGTTTAGCGAAATAAATATCTTAAGCCATATTTCACCATAATCCTTCCGAAAAGTAAGTACCGTGAGTAGACCATAAATCATAAATCAACGTAATGAAAAAGCATTAAGGTCCAAAATAGTATATCGACTTTCTACCTTTCGGCATTACAATCGTTTCGAGTAGTATTGTGAGTAGACTAAAAATCAATGTAATGGTAAAACATTAAGATCTAAAATAGCGTGTTGACTTAGTACTAAATTGCTCTTTTGTTCTCGGCGGCGACGTTCTTTTTTTGTTACTAACACTTTCGCGTCTTACGGTATAGCCGTACAAAAGTTACCTACCTAAATAAATAAAAAATTGAAAATATCCAAGTAGAAATAAATATATGCACATAATTTAGTACTTATATGTTTTTAGTGACAGTTTCAATAAAGGAAAAATATGTATTATACAATCCGTACCTGCTTAGCGATTTTATGAGTTGTTTTCTATTATTTTAATAATTTGATACATAATGCAGCGGCGTTTCATAATCGGCACATTAAAATTATCATGAAACAAAAGTTTTTCATTTTCGATTAACTCTACCTCAATGAGGTAGGAATACACTTTATAGTTTTTTACGGTTAATTTCTTTTTTTATAGCATAGGGTAATAAACGAGCACGCAGTCCACCTGATGGTAAGTGGTTGCTGTGGCCCATAGACATTTACATCTATCCTCGATTACGAATCAAAATGCAGATGCGCTCTCACCCGTGAGGACTTAGATGGAATGCCTCGTTTCCAGTAAAGAGGGTCTCCGGTTCTCTACACTTGCCATACGAAATACAGCAGCATTAAGCTACTATTTGACGCCGGTATTCCGTGAGAGCGTGGTTCTTCCCCGGTTGAGCCGACCCATTCGTGCTACAACTACTCTCTCGTAATATAACTGCAGCATGGCTCTACCACGTTAGAAAATTTGCTTTGGACAGCTAAACATTTGTTTTATTATTTCATAAGATTTTTATTATTTTAAGACTAATATTACCTATAATTTATTAATTATTTTTAATTGTTGTTTTATATATTAAGTACTGTTAAAGACCAAGATTTTAATATTTTAAGACTAGACCTAGGGTAAATAATTATTTACAATTGTTGATTAGTGAATAATTATGTACCTTTTTTATTTTAATAATATATAATTACAAATAATAAATGTGTTTTCTTTACTTAAGGTATGAAGAGCAATTTTTCATTTTGTGTTGTGCGATTTTCTTTCTCAATCCAAAATCATTTAGCAACATCAGCATCATATGAAACCCCCATTGTCATAAGAGTGTAAGACTTTTCTTCTGTGATTCACTTGGCCTACGCCTCGCCATAAAATATTTAGAATCGATGTCTGTATATTTTGGTGAGATCGATTTTGAAATCGATACACAACGTGCGACACGGCTACATCTCTAAGAAAGTTTCAAAAAAGAAAGGTCAGCTACGCCGGCTTACTACTATTTTATTGTTATTGTTTCTTTTTTATTTATGTACAAAGTACATATATAAAAAAGAGTGGAAGACAGCACAAGATTAAATAAAACATACCCGATTATAAAGAGTCATTTATTGTATAAAAACCAACAAAAACAAGTTATTTTGTGTTATCGATATATCAACTCTTGGCAGCACTGTTTTTTTCGTAGGTATTTTTGTTTACTTTTCGCTTTGGCGTACAGGACACGGTAGTGAGTTTTTGGCGTGGCGCTCAAAAGGTTAAGTCGCGTCTAAAAATAATGTGTTTCCACGTTAATTAATAGATAAAGGTATTACTAGAGATAGGCCGAATATGGATTTCACCGAATACGAATATTCGACAGGGTACGTAACCAATTTATGTTAAAACTTGTTACCGTAAAGCGCGTGCGATTAGCGCCGGACTCTGCCCCTCGCTCCCCCGCAACACCTGACATGTTATTGCATAATGTAGTACTGAGCAAATTGCCGGTACAATCTTGTTCTATTTTGTGAGAGAAAAAGTATTTCGTAGTGTTATTATGAGTGAAAATTGATAATTATATGATAAAAATGAGTGGCAGGATATCTACTAAGGTACGTGAAGGAAATATGGTCACCTTAAGCTTTGGCACCCTTTAAAACTAAAACTAAGGGGAGTACAAAAACAAAAAGTCGTATAATATAACTAATATATTAACCTCTAAACACCAAGTGGCCAAATTTGACCGCTTCGATATTCTGTCAAAATTCAAGCGGTAAAAAGACAACACTTTAACCCATAAAATCTTATATATAGAGACAACTTTTCTATGGTGAAGTTTAGCCAGGCCTCTGACCTCTGTCACTCTTGCTACCTGCGTGAAATAATTACAACGCGGTCACATTAACTTGACGCATGGCTTTGATGACGTCATTTACAACAGTGTAACAGAGATTCTAACCATACTGACGATTGCCGGGCGAGCTAAGGGAGTGCGGGGGCTAGCGGGCGGGGCCTCACATTCCAGCGATGCGTCAAGTTAATGTAACCGCAATATACCTAAAATCGCGAGGCGCCCTGGGCGTTATACCACAGAATAGATAATAGTACTACGTACAGAAGTTGCACTCCTTCTTTTTTTGCTGTGAGTACCTACCTAACAAAAAAATTAAATAAATTTTTTAACCTTTCATAACTTCCTTCTAAAATTCTTCGGTAACTTAAA